AATATAATTTCTGTATATACAATATAAAATTAAAAAAATAGTTATTTGAAAAATATAGACTAAAAGAAACATAAAGCGGAGCAATTTTTTTATTGTGAAAAATCATGAAGGCTGTCTCAGCATCACGTAAATATTTATTTAAATAATATTTTTTGTGATGAATATTTTCAAATCTTGTAAATATATTAGTTGTATCTCAATGTGATGAAATTTTTATGAAGCCAGTTGTGCAAGAAGAAAGATCGTGAAACTTCAGTATCTATCGATAATTGTGTCTTTTTAAGTCACTGCGGTGGCGAAGCTAAAGTTGAGTGTGTTAATTACTAAACACGGGCCGGTTACATCGCTCGCAAAATTGCATGAATGCATGAATTCTGGCGTACGAGTAATTTACGAGTATGCTGCGTTGAACGCGAGCTGATATTAGAACTAACGCTCGTTCTGTTAAAACATTCATAGCGAGGCTATAGGTCGGCTGATTAGCTTGCGATATTAATCAACGAAAATTAATTAACTTCCGGGTTTAAAATATTGTTGAAATGCAAAGATTTCATCGATAATTTCATCGCGAATCCGCGGTATGTGGCCGCTGGAAAAAGAATATTTTTGGGCAAAAACTCGTTTCGTAACTTGTCGTTTCCTCTGTCGTCATCTCGTTCGTAATTTTTATTTCTCGTGCTCAAAGTGTTTGCCGTGCCGTTGTTTAATCTTTCATTCTGTGCTATTTGTAATAAAGGGACCACTGGCGTCGCTCTTTTCCGCAGTGCTCTTTCGACCCCCCGGGACCCCCCTTGCGCTGCTTTCTCATCGCTTTGATTTTTCTCGAGACGTCCGCCGAGAGGCATTCCACCGCATGAATTCTTAACCGGCGAAATTAGCGAATTAAAAGTGTGAGAAGGATGGAAAAACGTGCGGACCCGGAACAGGTTGCTGCCGCTAGAAGGTCGAGGAAGCGAGGTTTGCGGAAGTGAGAGTGCGTCGGACGAAAGGAAGACTTTCAGAGTCTGAATCTGGGAACGTTCGTCCTTTTTCTCATTTTACCCGTGGCACCTCGTAAATACGGATATGCAAGCTCGTTTCCAAACGCTGTTCCACGCGCAGAAGCAGAGATGGTGGGAAACGGAGGTCGAGAATCAGAAGCCTTAATTTTTATTCATGCGCCGACGAAACGGCAATTTTTCGCAGTATTAAGTGAGCTTTAAAATTGTCCGGTCAATTTCTTCGGTAGAACGTGCTCCTTTTTTCAAGCACCACTATCATCGTTGCGGCGACGCCCTCTCGATGGGTTAGTCTCCTTTTTAACGCACTTTATGATCCTTCCGATGGATGCGAAACCGCGTGCTCCATTCCACGAGAATCCCTTTAGAAATTACATCCAATGTGAGTAGGTATAGTTACGTAGTCGCTCGAGGGAGAATACCGATGTGTTATCAGTAACGTGGCTATTACGCATCGGCGTCTTTCATTGCGCGAATTATGCTCATAGACGGATCATTAGGTCATAGATGTTACCAAATGGACGCCTAGATTAGGGGCTTTCGCAGCATATAACAATCGCAATTCCGTATAGTCCTTTGAGATTGTTCTACGCCATTCTATTTGCGCCGCTTTTCGAGCGGCGATTTTCGCAGCCAACACACGCGCCTAGTTAGCGGCTCCGGGAAAACCGATTAGTTCCTGGCGCGTAGGGCGGTCGATCATTAGATTTTGGCCGGGAAATTGAGTTTTGCTCGCTGCCGAAGGGATAATCTTTGGTATAGCCTCTGGCCTGCTATACATACGAACTCTATCTGTCCTTCTCTCTCTCTCTCTCTCTCTCTCTCTCTCTCTCTCTCTCTCTCTCTCTTTTGCTCTCTATTTCTCTTTCTCTCTCCAGGGGTGCATCCCGATCGTCGCATACGCTCACATGTGCATGCATGTGTGTGCGTGTGTATGTAAGTGTGTATGTGTGTTGCGTGTGTCGTAGGTGAATATACATACGACCGCGTTCATGCGCTCGCGCGGTCGTGTGCGCTTGCGACGGTGGCGGCACGTAACTTCGGTTCCATTATTGAGCGATCGGACGATCGAAAAATTCCCGCGCTTTTTCGCACGCGGCTACCCCGGTGGGGCGAACCAAACTCTCATTGGCTCGGCCGTTTGGTCATCCTTGCGCGCCGTTGATACGAGAGGGGGTGAACGGACTCGCTCACCCTCATTCTCGTTCTCTCTCTCTCTCTCTCTCTCTCTCTCTCTCTCTCTCTCTCTCCTCTCTCCCCCCTCTCTCTCTCTCTCTCTTACACTCCACACCCTCGCCAGGTATTTGTCTAGGCTACAGATATTGACCAGCTATCGATATCGTGGACACTCGTCGATATTATATTCTCTGTTGCCGCTTGCTTCCCCTCCATCGTATCCATTCTTTCGTTTCGCTCTCCCACCCTATGGATTTTACCGGTCGTGCGTTCTCGTGTAAATTTCGGTTAATGAATTATATGTATAATATATAGACATGCGTGCATATATGCGCGCGAACGATGTAACTCGTGTGCATATTTGCGGAGCGATAGAACGGTAGAGGAGGAAGGGGGCACATCGGCACGCCGGCGAATTCCCGCCGATTTTTGAACACGAACGACCAATCGCCGCGTGCCCCGCCGCGCCAGAATTTCATCGAAATGAGAAATCAATACACGGTGCAAACGCTATAACGGGATTGTTCCGTTGCAAAAATGCGCGCGGTTTCCGAGTATGCCGCTTTGCATTCGCATTACTTCGATATTAATTAGTACGTGCTAACGTATTATTGCTTTCCCTGTTTATACCTGCATATTATTTATATATGTTGTACAGCTATATATACATAGGATGTAATCTTGCGCTGCAAGAAAGGTAGAGCTTAACAAAATTAACAGAAAATTAAATGAATATAATTTTGAAATTGCGATTTTTGTTCAATACATAAAGTATCTTGTAATGGATTTATTTGGCTTCTACTTTCTATATTTTTGTACTTCATTAATTTTTTACGTTACATTTACATTAATTCTGGAAATATTTTATTAACGAAAGAATGATTGGAATTGCAATAAATAGTAAAATTTGCAACTAATTATGACTAAGACAAATTATCGAGCGCTGGTTGGCAAGAAATAACATTTATGATTTACAGGGAGTCAACGAGCTTGTTGAGTTTGCATGTTGTATGGTTATAAATTTTACACCGCCCAATCATTTCTCCTTAAGACGTTCGAAAATAGAAATATTTCGATTTGTGGCTAAACTTGGCTCCGAGCGTTCGCAGTTCGTCACGAGATATCGTTGCAAGGTTTGCACCCTCTCCCTCGGTGCAACCGAGGTCGGGGGCTGCACATACGGGTACATTTAAAACATTTTATCGGTAGAAGTGTAGAAATCCAAAGCGACCCTTTACGTACGCGTGTGCATACACGCCCAACTCGAGCACCACCCTACGAAGGAGGACGATGACGAAGGGTGGGATATGTGAGGAAGGGCGGTTATTAATGTAAGGGGTGGCTGAGCAGTAGTTATTTGGACGTGGGTGGTCGCAACAGAGGGCGAGAGAAAGAGATTCAGAGAGAGCGCGCGCGCGAGAAAGAGAGAGAGAGAGAGAGAGAGAGAGAGAGAGAGAGAGAGAGAGAGAGAGA